CGAATCTTCCAGTTACTACATTGGCATGCTGACCATTTACATCATGAGAACACTCACAAGAAGGCACAATAATTCCTTACATTCTCAAAATTTAGAACTAACCAGTTTTCTGAATATCTTGGGAAATTAAATTTAGAAATTATAATTCAGTATATTCAGAAATTTTATCAGGTAGTATATCAGAAAAAAAAGTCGACGTACATTTCGTACAGTCAGCGTTAGCCTGCTTGGCATTCGTGTGTAAAACCACTATGATCTACCATGAATTAAATCTTGACTAAACATGCAAGTAATTAAAATCATTTTAAGCCAAAATTTGGTAGAGTAAATCTTTAAAGTCGTGAGCAAAAATGGAAAACTCATTATTAGCCCAAAAGGGTGTTAGCCCAGAAGAGCTATTAGTCTCGGAACGGCATTTTGCGTCGGTACACTATAAAATAAACGGTTGTATCACTTTTCAAATTGTTGCTACCAAATATTACTGTCATGTATTATATTTAAAGAAGTTAAATGATGAAAAATCTGCATGAAGGTATGTATGTTTCTCGCATTGAAAAAAAAAAGATATCTAAAGCCATCAAATTTTGAATAACGTAGTCCTCCACCCGATCATGGGCACCTGGAAGCCCGAATTTTGAATTTCGAATTTGTTTTATTATCTATTTCGTATTTTTTAAACTTACACGAATATTTGATAAAGAAACTTAACTATTTCAAAGGGAGCAGTGGCAACACATTGTACGGAATAAAATATTTTTACCTCCAGCGCGTGAGGCTGTCAATCGGAAATGCTAAAGATATTATGTTTTTAAATATTTTTAGCCCAAAGGGCCGTTAGCACAAATGCTCTCGAAACGTGTATATATATGTAAATAACAAAAGCCCCTTTGGTCTTAATATAAAATCTGAAAGCTTTCAGATTCAGATTTTTTCGATTATTTAATTGCTCAAACCTTTTGTTTAAATATGCAAGAGCTGTACGAATTATTTGCTAACGAGAATCAATTTGAAGCTTGCTTTCCTTTCAGGAAATGTAACTTTTCATCTGCTCGTTCATAGGCTAATTATCTGAGTTTTCACCTCTTTTGTTATCTCCCCCCCCTCCTTGATTTAAAATTTCCTATCTGCCTACTTCTATTTCGAATTTTACCATTTATATTTCATTTTTATGCAACAAAATGTTTTAATTGCTCATTTAACTTGAAAATGTTATTAGGCATAGACTGCGAAATTGCTGGAATGTAATACATGGTTAAAATTATTTTCTGACCATAACAAAAAACAAATAACAATTAGTCAGAATTCCTAGAAATATTTCTTAACGGTAAATGGAATCCATTTTATATTATTCAAGAAAGCATTTTCAGAAATCTGTTTTGATATTATATAAGTATGATTTTATGAGTGTAAATTGTGTATAGTAATTTCCCCACGAATTTGACGTTATAAAATGTAAGTTTATTTTTTTACTTCATTATACATTTCTTTATTCTGATTTAATGAAGCTGAAATTGAATTATATACGAAAAAAAATGATTTCAGGATGCATTAATAAATCTGGTCGTTGCCTCTGAATGGAAAGTAACGCTTCAGTGAGGAAAGCTGATTTTGAGGGCTTACATTATAGCCTGACATCATTCTCTTCGTTTTTGTTTAGAGGTGTCGAATCGAATCTTCGAGCATAGCGATTTTATGCTCCGTTATAATGTAATCTAGGCTTTTCGCGAGATAAAAATGCATTGTCTTACTTTGGATGACATGCATGATGCTTTAATCTGGAGGAAAGTTAGCGGTAAACACTCAGTGTCATAATGGAGTAAAGTAGTAAACATTTGATTTGGGTCCATTTTCTCCTCAAATGGCAATTGATAACGGGAATTAAAAAATCGAAGGGGTGCACCTGCTGCAGCTTCCGCTACAGTAGCAGAGATACATAGTTAGACCGCTTTTCGTGAAAAGATTAGATCATAATGTGTAATGACTAGTAAAAAAGGGTTAATCATATTATTACTGCAAAACAGGCATTGGCTGTCCCTAAGATGTGGGAGACACATGTGTTCCAGATTTGCAAGACCTAACGGTTCTCTTTCTTCTAATAAACTTAAAATAAAATCATTCTACATTTAATATTCCAAAGGGTCATGTTTGTTTTCAAAATCCGTAGAACATCAACAAACTACAACAGAGATAAGATGGTTGTCACTCTTACAATGACAAACTATAAAGGAAAGATAACAACTGAGGCTTGGTTCTAACAATACTCGAACCTTTTAATTGATAACATACATTTAATCAATCAAAACAAAATGTAAAAAATACTGTCCATATCAAGACTAATTAGTAAACAAAAAGAAAATTAAGTTCTTAAATTTCTAAGCTAAAATAACTCAAGTAGTGTTCAGGTTAGAAATTTAGATGGAATTTTAATTTCTCGTCCACTTGTAGTCAGAACAGTTTTAATGTCCTTTGATAAATCTGGAGCTAAATTATTTTTGGTAGTTTTGAAACTAAACTGTCTTCCCCCTGCGTCTCAGTTTCATTTGCCCTATCTGACTCCAAAGATGAAGGTATGTCGAGAGGGAATATTCTCTAGACTGGCTGAACTAATTCTCCAGGTATGGTTTTGACACGAACTACTCGAATGTTGCCGTCTTTTCCTGGATGTACCTCAATTACGTTTGCTAGAGGCCACAGCACCTTGCGTTGGTTATCACACTCGATGAGAACTATGTCCCCGATTTTTATCTGTTGAGAAATCGACACTGTAGATGGACGTTGCACTAACAAGACGAAATATTCATTTCTAAATCTCTTTCTCAAGAGCTCTCATAAATTCTGTAGATGTCTCAGTCTCTTCTTGAAATCAACTTTATGAAGGGGATTTAAGTTAGCAACTCCAAAGACTGGAATTTCACCTAAAAATAAGGAGGGTGTCAAAGGAATGAGATCATCAGAGTCCTCTGAGACATAAGTGAATGGTCTGGCATTCTCAGTTGCATCGCAGTCAGTTAGGACACTCATCAATTCTTCATAATTTAGACACGACTGGTCTAGGACTCGATGCAAAAGCTTCGTAATAATTTGAACAATTCGTACCCAAAAGCCACTCCACCATGGTGCTTGTGGCGGTTTCTATCTCCATGATATTACAATTAATTGATCTCAAGAGGTTATTGGATCCGACAAAATTACCTTCCTTGTAACTATAAATTATAGATGGCCTCCCTCTACGAGCAATAAGTTTTCTAAGGCCAAGTAAAAATCCTTACGTTGAATGGGAAAAAATCTGTTCCAAATGAACAGCCCTGAAAACAGAATAGGTGAAAAGTAAAATCCAAGCTTTTCTTTTATTCTTAAAAATCAATGGGTCAGCTAAAATCAACTTCGGCAATCTCGAAAACATGAGCATCTCTTATTCTGTTTTCTGGTGGAGTAGCAGGCACAGTTTTGTCGTTTACTTCCATGTCTCCTGCACCTGACACATGCATATAAAGCTTTTCGAATCGTAGCTCTACTTTCAGGATAGAAAACGTCTCTCTAAATGTTGACATGAGTATGCGAATTCTTGCATGAGACATAGGTATTTATCAATTATCAATTTCTCCATAGTTTTATGATTTTTCGGAAGTAACACCGGATATATAAAATTTTCATAGCCTTTACTTTCAGTCAACCTAGAATTGACATGTAAAATGCTTTCGTCATCTTTGAACACACTAATTGACTTCAGCTTCTTACTATCTTCAGATGAAAAGGAATCATGTTGAATAATCTTCACAATAGATTTTCAGCTCTAGTCAATTCATAAGCTTTTAATTCTACTGCTTCTTTTCCTTTTTTCTCCTTTCGGGTATTTTCTATGAATCTGTGTATCCACCCAATAATTCTCCGTATTTTCTTATACTTTGAAAAACAGCCAAAGAACCGTGAAGGCATATCGCTAACATTGCTTAACGAAACTATAACTGTTTTAGCATTAACCTCTTCTTTATTATCGATTGCGATAGAACGAGACCATTCTTCTTCTGGCCGTGCCAACTAAGGTGGGCTCTTCCACCATCATAATTCAATAAGTTTCTTCACAGAACATCCTTTAATGGCATATCGGCTGGGTTTCCTGAACCCGGTACATAGTGCCAATTTTCAAAGTCCAATAGGATTCTAATTTTCGAAGCTCTGTTATTTACAAAGTTGTTCCAAACTTCTACGTTCTTTATCAAGAATAGTGCTGTTAAAGAATCGGTCCAGTAATATTCCTTTGAAATTTCGACCTTAAAGTTTTTCTTGATAAATGAGGTTAATGGCACTCCAATAAGATCAAGCAATTCAAGTCGCAGTAGACTTGTTTTTTTCAAGAGAGCTATTTGTGCTTTGGCTTGTAGTAGAGTCACTTTGATTTCTTTTGTAAGTAACAGAGTTGATAATGAGAGTTTATTTTGACTCAATACTGCACTTGCATAAGTTCTCTAAGAAGCATCGGCAAACGTATGCAAACTAAACTGTCAGTGGAAACAATCTGCGATTCCTCATAGATGATAACAAGGGAAATTCTTTGACCCACTTCAAGAATTCTCTTTTGATATCTTCAGGTAGCTCTGCGTCCCAGCTCAGTTTAGTTTCCCAGCTCTTTTGCAAGTATAACTTTGGAAAGGGGTGTAAAAGGGCAGGTAAAACCTGTTGGGTCGAAAACTCTCCGTTCAACACAAAACAATTAATCTTCATATATATGCCACAGAAGACCAAGTACTTTCAACAGCAAGATGGTTAATTGTAGATTTTTCACTGCTAAGTTCTGTTTATTCCCACCGTCTTGTCAAAGCTAGCACTTCCCATTAACTGAGTTGATTTTGCACAGTTGTCAACATAGAAGGAAATTTTCAATTTTGTAGCCACTTCCTTCAAAGATGGTTCACATTGCTCTAAATGAGAGTTGATCACTGAACCTAAAAGAAACGTACTGCATTTTAGTCCGAAGACTATTCTACAATGGCGAAATGTTCTTATGTTCTTTTGTTCAAGGTTTTCCACCACAGGAAGCTTAGGAAATCACGATAATTTATTTGAACAGATATTTGAAGGAAACCTCTTGTAATATCCGAAATAATTCCTATTTTTCCTTGTCTAAAATCAAGAAGCAATCTGAGTATCAATTCAATTAAATTTTGAACTTTTGCTATGCAGTCGTTAAGTGACAGGAAATCCTTTATCTTGCATGAAGCGTCAAATGCAGGTCTTGCTGCTGTTGTACAGTTATTTTTGAAGACTGTTCTGTGGGGAAGACAATTATTGTTAACTCTCTGTTCTTCTTCTGGCACTTCTACTATTAATCCAGATTTGAGCCACTCTTCAAACAGTGCATTGTATGTGTCAAATTTATCTTTAAATAGGAGCTTCTTTGTAGTCGAACGCAATCGTTTCTCAGCAACTTCTCTGTTACTTGGTAAAGCTTGTTTATTGTTGTTCCAAGGTAAACTGACTTCATACCGATCGTCCACCCTCTTCAGAGTCTTGTAAAAGTGATCCCATCCTGCTTCTTCTAACTCTGAATCAGTTTTATTTTTAGCCTCTGTAATTCTCAGCGCTTCTAGCTTCCATAAGTTTTCTATGCCACTGCTGTGAGTAAACATGTATGTTATTGTTGATGACATGGATAATAAATTTCTTTCTGAAACGTAATCATTTATATTTCCCATTATTGTTCATCCAAGTAGTGATTCCACAGCAGTCAGCCCATTTTCTAATTTCTGAACTCTTTGAGTTAACAGAGCACCTGCGACGTCATCTCCTATAAGAGCTTATATTTTCAAATCCCTTCTGTTTACATCAGATGTATGGATATTTTTCTGCCTTAGTTCTTCTGTCCATGGTCTAGGTTGTAAACTGACTACTGGTCCGCAAATCTTCGACTGGTATTAGTCGTTTAGAAAAATTACCTTTTAGGCTTCTAACGTTCACGTCATAGCGTTTGTGAATTTCTCTGTTTGTTTTTACGCCTATAAAAAGTACAGCGTTCGTCAATTTCTCTCTTTGTTTTTACTCCTCTAAAAAGCATATGAAGTAAAGAGTCAGATCCAATTACTTGGCCTCCTGTGTTTACAGAAGTCTTCTTTAATATGTATGAACGTTGCGATCCCATGTCGATAAATGCCCTTACTGTCTTCTGCATTTTGTTTGCGTCCATATTAATTAATCGCGTCTGGAGAAACACTTTATCTACGAAACTAGTGCTCGCAAGTGATACGTTTTGTGTTTCTTCTTCTTTATTCTTTTCAACATCGTTGCTAAGAAGCAAATACGGACACATGACACCCCAATACCTTTTCGAGCATATCAAACACCGTACATTTGCCTTGCATTGCTTGGCCCTGTGTCCAATTTTGAGGCAGAAGGAGCAAACCTTCCTTTTCTTAATTTCATCATTCTTTTGATTCAGAGTAATCTTCTAAACAATAAAGCAATCTCGACTTTCAGGATTTTTTTCACAAAATATGCAAGAGCTCTTTTCACTATAATTGGTTGCTATTGGTTGGCCTGAGAATAAATCATTCACTGTAAGCACAAAATGTTTACTCTGGTATTTTCTAATCTCCTCTACTTTCTTCCTTTGCACCCGAATCAATTAATTTAAATCCAGCTTTCGCCAAATAAATTCTCTGATGTCCTTTCACTTCATTCTTTTAAAAACAATAATAATTGTTTCAATTTCTCAGAGTGAGAAGTTTCTGCTGTAGTTATTGACGGATGATTTCTAAGCCAAACTCGTAAAATTTCCTCGGGAATGCAGGATTCCACGAGAGGAAATAGCATTCCAGCGTATTTGTAGCTTGTCATTCCTATTGACTCCAATGAACTTAAATGCGACTCTAACTTGTCATATAATTCTGATATACTACATTTTCCTTTTTGATTAGTAACATTTTCAGTAATCAGACCTAATAGTTTCCGAATATAGAATTCTACCTACAATTCTTCCCTGCCGAACCTATTCCTTAATATTTCCGAAAACGTTTTGTTAGTTTGTACATAAAATGTTGTGTTTCAGTCTTTTTCAAAAGTCCACAAAACACTTTGGTGTGTTTCTTGTAAGACGAGTGCTTTGGCTTCAGGCATTAATAAAAGTTTTCACATGGGATAATAAACCTCCAACTAATATAGGATTGGAAATATATACAGATGGATCAAAGAATAATGATACACAGGCCTTGGGTTTTGCCCTTTTGGCACGGTCAATTTCAAGAACAATTTATGTTTCAATTGGATAAAAAGTGCTCGGTTTATCAAGCAGAATCACAAGCTTTGAAATCAGCGTTGTTGTGGCTTAAGACGCACCATCAATCAGCTCATATCTATTCAGACAGTCAAGCAGTTCTTAAATCAGTTAAAAAATTCGATATTTACAACAAAAATATTATTGAAATTAAGAAATTAATTTCATTTACTAAAAAGAAACTGCATTGCATACGCGGACACCAAGGATTCATTGGAAAGGAGAAAGATTATGAAACTGCAAAACAGGGTATATACTCGTCAAATAGAATAGAATATAATCTCCCTATGAGCTTTATTGTAAGAACAGCAAAAATAAAAGCTTTTACCTTATGGCAAACGAAATGGCAAGATGAAGAGACTAGCAGACATACTTATCAACTCATTCCAAGAGTATGAGAGAAAAGGTACTTTTGTGACTTCTTCTTTAATCAGATACTGACTAACCATGGAGCTTTTCCTGTTTATATCAACAGGTTCAAACTGAAAGAGACAACTTGAAAGTGTCAATGTGGACAAGAAACAGCTGATACTATCCACATGATTATAGAATGTCCAAGCGTTTCCTCTAAAGGAACTGATCTATTTCATCAAGATTTATTCTTAGATTTCCTTGGCAAACTTATATTAAACGACAAAGGACGATCACTTCTATCAATGTTTATGGAAATGCATTTATTTGTATCTACGAATTTTTGAATTTTCGATATTTGATTATAAATATCCTGTATTTTTGATAATGGTGAACATATTATAACAAAATATATTCAATATTGAACTATGGTTATATTGTATATAGTTTTCAATAAAGATGTTGGTGAGGCTAACACATCTTTAAGTCAGAAAACTTCAAAATTTCATACCAGGTTATTTAAATTTTTACTAAATTAAGATTTTCTTTAGCATTGAGCTTAATATAATTAGCTTCGATTTAGCCATTGGCTCTGGTGATACCTCTACTCAAGAGGTGAGGACCGGATTTTCCATTTTCATGTTGTTGAGAGGTACAAAAAAAAGAGTGCTAGATGAGTGAATGGTTCAAGGATGGAAGAAGGGTGCAATGCGGGTAAGGACAACAATTTCAGTGTCCACATGTACGGAAATAGAGTAGGATAGATACAGCTTAAATATTGTTAATGGACGTTTACAACGTGAACGGGTAATGAGTTCTCTAGATAAGTATCATACAGATAATGGTATGACTGAGATACATGCATATTCTTGGTACAATCAGCTGTGTAATGCAGAGTGTGACTACGAACATTTAAAAGAGTTACTGATACAAAAAGATAACAGATTAACGAAAGCAGTTCATTCATGGTTAATTTATAATACAATATAACATGCAGTAAATAGAAGAAATATGTAAATTTAGTAGCCGCTGTAAAAGAGATTACTACTTCTGTCACTTTTTAACTGTACCTCATCTGTGCTATATAATATACTGATATAATAAATATGCTGATGACTATAATAAATATACTGATGCGGCTATATAATCCACATCAGTATATTTATTATCATGCAAAGTGTTCAGTGTTTGTGTCTCATTAAAATGGCTACGCTATAACATATCTTTCTATAGAAAAAAGATACATGAATTCTGGAATTCCTTTTATTCAGGCTTAATTTTTTAAAGTGTGAATTTTCATCAGTTTTCATCATCTTTTCAATGTAAGGGGCCCACTAGCGGCCGGGTGGTAAAGACGCTGAACACTGGTAGTTCGGTCCGAGGTACGCATCCTGTGAACGAGCTGGCTGCATGGGCGTTTTCGTGGTTTTCCCCATGTGTAACATGTATACGAGCCAGTTTCCCTTAGAACGTGCTCCACGAAGGCATCCCTCCCTTTAGGCAGATAGCCCTCGTGTACTTTGCCTTAATTAAATAATCCAATCCAATCCTTTTCAATGTAAGTAATTTTGTATTGACTATCAAAATATATATCTTTCGCTTTATATTTCTTCATTTATCATTTTATATTTTCGTTACGGGAATCAAACAAATTTGAGCCTTTCCGAATTGTCAAAACTGTATTTAAAAAAGTTGCAGAATGGCCAGATAATTTTGTACCACCATCTTTTTTTTTACATTTTTTAACTGTCAATCTGTGGAATATAAGCAGCTAAATATTAACTATTACGTATTTCTAAACGAGCACGTTTATATATACCTTTTCCAAAACAAAGTTTGGATTCCAAGGTTGGGATATTTTCCTTGCAAGAGAAACTGGATCATGTTCACTTTACATATGAAGAAAACCAGCTGTCATGCAGCAAGCCAGACCGTTGGTCAGGATTTGAACCTAAGTCGAACGGCCAGTGGTCAGCGGTTAATTTCGTTGCTAAGTATAAGTTGTTTCCTAAATAAAAACTTTGATGGATAATAAACGTTCATGTGATATGTTAGTTCTCGGGAATTTCTGCGAATTTGTTTGTTTTTTAACTAATTAATCCAATTGCTAATATTTAGCTGGAATAAATACTTCACTCTAGAAACTGTCTTCATAAAAATTATTTTACTCTTTTTGACAAATTTTGTTACTGGTAATGTATATTTAGATTAATATTTACGGAAATAAAGATTGTAACTATCTTCCTCGAGCAAATTATTTATGGTATAACGTACATTAATAGTAAACAGTAAGTGAAATGTGCATTTATTGAATCGATAAGAATTTATTTTTACATTTTGCAGGATATTCACTAACGCATGATCAGTTTTAAATAGGAACCTTTTAGAAGTTACAAACGTAATCTGAATTCGGTTGGATATATAAGAAAGAGCTCTCAAAATGTAAACAATTAATTTTCAGAAGTGCTGACCATCCGCGAACATAGCTACATTTGGTCTTCAAAATATTTTGTTGTGTTGGTCAACATTTCACCTGTAGTTACTGGAAATGTATTATCGTTTTTTAAAAGCTGGAATAGTTTGATAGTCTCTTTGATAGACCTTATTTCTGGCATCCCACAAAATGTCCACGCTTTGCAAATTCTGCAATTTAGATTGATAAAAAGACTACTTTAAAAAGTAAATTTATAGAGTATTAATATGTATTAAAATATATATGGAGACATAAAAATGCTGTGTAGAAAGATGCAAAAACTTTTAACGTTTTTTAAACAAAAAAGAAGTAATAAAATGTTTATCTTAGAGGTGCGTTATAGAATATAAGCATTTAAGATAAATGAGATAAATAATATTTACCTCAGTATTTATTCAATAAAAGTATAAAAACTTTTAAAAATCCCGGTATATTTTAATAACTTAGAAACATATCATTCTTTGGAAGAATGATAGTTACTTATATGTTACTTATATGTTATAAGCGTGGACACGAATATCGTCATATATATCACTATGTCTGAAATTTCAAGCATGGAAATCAGCTCCTCGTGAAAAGGTTTTGTCTTTTTTCTAGTCGTT